CTGGGGGTCAGTGACGGGGGGGGGTCACCCTGGAGGGGGTAGGTTCCCCAGTCCGGGGGTCAGTGACGGGGGGGTCACCCTGGAGGGGGTAGGTTCCCCAGTCCGGGGGTCAGTGATGGGGGGTGCGGTCCTCTCCATAATGAACAGCAACAGACAGTCCTGGCAGGAGATTTAGGTGTCTGAGAGGCGATGATGTCAGCAGGTCACACAGCCATATGAAGGGCGATCAACCACCAGCAACATGGATGAAGCAAAGGAGAGCTGGGGGTAGTGGGTGAGGGGTGCTCCTGATGGGAGTGGGGTGCTCCTGATGGGAGTGGGGTGCTCCTGATGGGTAAGGGGTGCTCCTGATGGGTAAGGGGTGCTCCTGATGGTAAGGGGTGCTCCTGATGGGTGAGGGGTGTTCTTAGTGGGCGAGGGGTGGTCCTGATGGGTGAGGGGTGTTCCTGATGGGTGTTCCTGATGGGGTGAGGGGTGCTCCTGATGGGGTGAGGGGTGTTGCTGATGGGTGAGGGGTGTTCCTGATGGGTGAAGGGTGTTCTTCGTGGGCAAGGTGTGTTCCTGATGGGTGAGGGGTGTTCCTGATGGGTGAGGGGTGTTCCTGATGGGTGAGGGGTGTTCGTAGTGGGTGAGGGGTGTTTGTAGTGGCTGAGGGGTGTTCCTGATGGGTGAGGGGTGTTCGTAGTGGGTGAGGGGTGTTCCTGATGGGTGTTCCTGATGGGTGATGGGTGTTCCTGATGGGTGAGGGGTGTTAATGATGGGGTGAGGGGTGCTCCTGATGAGTGAGGGGTGTTCCTGATGGGTGAGGGGTATCCGGTACTCTCCGGTGGGTCGCTGCCTGAGCCCTGCAGACCTCCTTATAACTGAGCCCATCTCTGTATTGGAGGCGTCCCCTGAGGGCGGCACATGGGGAGCACCCCGCAGGTTTCCTCCCATTCCACTGACAGATGATGCTGATGGATGATGAAGAATCTGAAGATCCAACACCGACCTCTGCTGGCCGCTCACCGCATCACACAGCCCCCGGAACCAGCTGATCGTGTAGCAAGAGCACCACCCAGTGTCCACTCTGCAGAGCTGCACTCTCTCTCCATATATATATATATATATATATATATACACGGCTCCGAACAATGAGACCTACACCTTGGAATCCCAGTCGATTCTCTCTCCTGGGATATGGATCTGGTCAGGGTAAGTCGCAGAGGATCTGGTCGGGTAAGTCGCAGAGGATCTGGTCGGGTAAGTCGCAGAGGATCTGGTCGGGTAAGTCGCAGAGGATCTGGTCGGGTAAGTCGCAGAGGATCTGGTCGGGTAAGTCGCAGAGGATCTGGTCAGGTAAGTAGCAGAGGGGGATGTCCATCAGTTTCAGCTGCTTTGGTGGTCATGTAATCACCAACAGGGGCACTAGATGGGCAACAATGAGACGACCCCCCAAAACAGGAATGGTGTTACAGGTGGAGGCCACTGACATTGTTTTCCCTTCTCATCTTCCCTGACTGTCTCTCACTGGTTCTGCATTTGGCTCGGGTCGGTGTCACTACTGGTAGCATGAGGCCATACCTGGACCCTACAGAGGTCACACAGGCAGTCCAACTCCTCCAGGATGGCCCATCAATACCTGCCATTGCCAGAAGGTGTGCTGTGTCTCCCAGCACAGTCTCAAGAGCATGGAGGAGATTCCAGGAGACAAGAGCATGGAGGAGATTCCAGGAGACGAGAGCGCGGAGGAGGTTCCAGGAGACGAGAGCACGGAGGAGATTCCAGGGAGACGAGAGCACGGAGGAGATTCCAGGAGACACGAGAGCACGGAGGAGATTCCGGGACATGAAGCATGGAGGAGGTTCCAGGGAGATGAGAGCACGGAGGAGATTCCGGGACACGAGAGCACGGAGGAGATTCCGGGAGACCGGGGGCACGGAGGAGATTCCGGGAGACGAGAGCACGGAGGAGGTTCCGGGAGACGAGAGCACGGAGGAGATTCCGGGAGACGAGAGCACGGAGGAGATTCCGGGAGACGAGAGCACGGGAGGAGATTCCGGGAGACCGGGGGCACGGAGGAGATTCCGGCTGGACGGAGCACGGAGGAGATTCCGGGAGACGAGAGCAGGAGGAGATTCCGGGAGACGAGGGCACGGAGGAGATGCCGGGAGACGAAGCACGGAGGAGATGGGGAGACGAGCAGCACGGAGGAGATTCCGGGAGACGAGAGCACGGAGGAGATTCCGGGAGACGAGAGCACGGAGGAGGATTCCGGGCCCGACGGGAACACGGAGGAGCCCTTCTGGGAGACGAGAGCGCGGAGGAGATTCCAGGAGACCGAACCCACGGAGGAGATTCCGGAGACGAGAGCACGGAGGAGATTCCTGGGAGACGGGAACAGATGGAGAGATTCCGGGAGACGAGAGCACGGAGGAGATTCCGGGAGAACGAGAGCACGGAGGAGATTCCGGGAGACGGGAACACGGATTGGAGCTTCCGGGAGACGAGAACACGGAGGAGATTCCGGGAGGGAGGGCACGGAGACCCTTCTACTTCCGGGAGACGTGACAATGGCACGGAGGAGATTCACGGGAGACGAGAGCAATCCGGAGGAGGTTCAGGTTCCAGACGAGATGCACGGGAGGAGGTTTCCGGGAGAGAGAGAGCACGGAGGAGATTCCGGGAGACGAGGTGCACGGAGTGAGGTTCCAGAGACATGGATTTCAGTTCCTCTAGGAGGGCTGGACATGTGATTCAGGTGTTCAGAAGGTCACTTAACCCACAAACATCAGCAGTTCCACCGGTATCTGCTCCTTTGTCATGGAGGAGAGGACCAGGTGTGAGCCCTGCCAGAGCCCTTCAGAATGACCTCCAGCAATGCCCCTCCCAATCATGTGGAATGGTCTCTGACCAAACAATCAGAAAATCAGACTTCATGAGGGAGGGCCTGAGGGCCCGACGTCCTCTAGTGGGCCCTGTGCTCACTGCCCGGCACCATAGGATGCTGGATTGGCATTGGCCATCCTGAACCCCAGAACCCCCAGATCATGGCAGGTTCCACCACTGGCTCCCAATCTGTGCTTTTCACACAGATGACAATCATGTGAGGTTTCAATCCCTGAGCACATGTGACAGACGTTCAGGTGTTCTGGAGAAGCCGTGTGATTCAACGTTCTGCTGCCTGTATCATGGTTTAGTAGGTGACCGTTGTGGTGGTGGTGGGTCAGTGAATGGTCCCAATGGGGGGGTGTTACAATCTCCATGGAGGGACACACAGACCTCCCATACATGGATTACAATGGCTCCAATCATATGATGTGATTCAGGTGTTCCAATCCCCTCCATATCATGTGATTCAGGTGTTCCAATCCTCCCCCCCAATCATGTGATTAGGTGTTCCAATCCCCTCCATATCATGTGATTCAGGTGTTCCAATCCCCCCCCAAATCATGTGATTAGGTGTTCCAATCCCCTCCATATCATGTGATTCAGGTGTTCCATTTTATCCCCTCCATATCATGTGATTCAGGTGTTCCAATCCCCCCCCATATCATGTGATTAGGTGTTCCAATCCCCTCACATATAATGTGATTCAGGTGTTCCAATCCCCTCCATATCATGTAATTCAGGTGTTCCAATCCCCTCCATATCATGTGATTCAGGTGTTTCCCAATCATGTGATTCCAGGTGTTCAATGCTCCCCTCCATATCATGTGATTCAGGGTGTTCCAATCCCCTCCCCCAATCATGTGATTCAGGTGTTCCAATCCCCTCCGTATCATGTGAATTCAGGTGTTCAGGTGTTGTTCCAATCCCCCTCCCAATCATGTGATTCAGGTGTTCCAATCCCCTCCCAATAATGTGATTCAGGTGTTTCCAATCCCCTCCATATCATGTGATTCAGGTGTTCCAAATCCCCTCCCAATCATGTGATTAGGTGTTCCAATCCCCTCCATTATCATGTGATTCAGGTGTTCCAATCCCCTCCATATCATGTGATTCAGGTGTGTTCCAATCCCCTCCCCCAATCATGTGATTCAGGTGTTCCAATCCCCTCCATATCATGTGATTCAGGTGTTCCAATCCCCCCCATATATCATGTGATTCAGGTGTTCCAATCCCCTCCACAGATCATGTGATTCAATGGTGTTCCAATCCCCCTCCCAATCATGTGATTCAGGGTGTTCCAATCCCCCTCCAATCATGTGATTCAGGTGTTCCAATCCCCCCAATCATGTGATTCATGTGTTCCAATCCCCCCCAAGCAATCATGTGATCCAGGTGTTTCCAATCCCCTCCCAATCATGTGATTCAGGTGTTCCAATCCCCCCCATATCATGTGATTCAGGTGTTCCAATCCCCTCCATATCATGTGATTCAGGTGTTCCAATCCCCTCCTACCATGTGATTCAGGTTCCAATCCCCCCCCAATCATGTGATTAGGTGTTCCAATCCCCTCCATATCATGTGATTCAGGTGTTCCAATCCCCCCCCATATCATGTGATTAGGTGTTCCAATCCCCTCCATATCATCATGTGATTCAGGTGTTCCAATCCCCCCAATCATGTGATTCAGGTGTTCACAATCCCTCTCCCATATCATGTGATTCAGGTGTTCCAATCACCTCCATATCATGTGATTCAGGTGTTTCCAATCCCCTCCCATCATCATGTGATTCAGGTGTTCCAATCCCCCCCCCCCAATCATGTTGATTCAGGTGTTCCAATCCCCCCCATATAATGTGATTAGGTGTTCCAATCCCCTCCATATCATGTGATTTCAGGTGTTCCAATCCCCCCCCAATCATGTGATTAGGTGTTCAATCCCCTCCTCATAATCATGTGATTCAGGTGTTCCAATCCCCTCCATATCATGTGATTCAGGTGTTCCAATCCCCCCCCAATCATGTGATTCAGGTGTTCCAATCCCCTCCATATCATGTGTGATTCAGGTGTTCCAATCACCTCCCATATCATGTGATTCCAGGTGTTCCAAATCCCCTCCATATCATGTGATTCAGGTGTTCCAATCCCCTCCATATCATGTGATTCAAGTGTTCCAATCCCCTCCATATCATGTGATTCAGGTGTTCCAGTCCCCTCCATATCATGTGATTCAGGTGTTCCAGTCCCCTTCATATCATGTGATTCAGGTGTTCCAATCCCCTCCATATCATGTGATTCAGGTGTTTTCCCATCCCCTCCCAATCATGTGATTCAGGTGTTCAATCCCCTCCATTTTTTGATTTGTTCCAATCCCCTCCCAATCATGTGATTCAGGTGTTCCAATCCCCTCCCAATCATGTGATTCAGGTGTTCCAGTCCCCTCCATATCATGTGATTCAGGTGTTCTAATCCCCTCCATATCATGTGATTCAGGTGTTCCAGTCCCCTCCATATCATGTGATTCAGGTGTTCCAGTCCCCTCCATATCATGTGTTCAGGTGTTTCAGTCCCCTCCATATCATGTGATTCAGGTGTTCCAATCCCCTCCATATCATGTGATTCAGGTGTTTCCAATCCCCTCAATATCATGTGATTCAGGTGTTCCATCCCCTCCATATCATGTGATTCAGGTACTCCAATCCCTCCCAATCATGTGATCCAGGTGTTCCAATCCCCTCCCAATCATGTGATTCAGGTGTCCAATCCTCTCCCAATCATTTGATTCAGGTGTTCCAATCCCTCCCAATATCATGTGATTCAGGTGTTCCAATCCCCTCTCATTATCATGTGCTTCAGGTGTTCCAGTCCCCTCCATATCATGTGATTCAGTGTGTTCCAATCCCCTCCATATCATGTGATTCAGGTGTTCCAGTCCCTCCATATCATGTGATTCAGGTGTTCCAATCCCCTCCAATCATGTGATTCAGGTGTTCCAATCCCCTCCATATCATGTGATTCAAGTGTTCCAATCCCCTCCCAATCATGTGATTCAGGTGTTCCAATCCCCTCCCAATCATGTGATTCAGGTGTTCCAATCCCCTCCCAATCATGTGATTCAGGTTTTCCTGTCCCCTCCATATCATGTGATTCAGGTGTTCCAATCCCCTCCATATCATGTGATTCAGGTGTTCCCATCCCCTCCCATATATCATGTGATTCTCAGGTGCTTCAATCCCCTCCATATCATGTGATTCAGGTGTTCCAATCCCCTCCATATCATGTGATTTCAGGTGTTCCAATCCCCTCCCATATATGTGATTCAGGTGTTCCAATCCCCTCCCAATCATGTGATTCAGGTGTTCCAATCCCCTCCCAATATGTGATTAAGGTGTTCCAATCCCCTCCATAATATGTGATTCAGGTGTTCCAATCCCCTCCATATCATGTGATTCAGGTGTTCCAATCCCCTCACATATCATGTGATTCAGGTGTTCCAATCCCCTCCCATATCATGTGATTCAGTGTTCCAATCCCCTCCCATATCATTTGATTCAGGTGTTCCAATCCCCTCCATATCATGTGATTCAGGTGTTCCAATCCCCTCCATATCATGTGATTCAGGTGTTCCAGTCCCCTCCATATCATGTGATTCAGGTGTTCCAGTCCCCTCCATATCTTGTGATTCAGGTGTTTAAGTCCCTCCATATCATGTGATTCAGGTGTTCCATCCCCTCTATATCATGTGATTCAGGTGTTCCAGTCCCCTCCATATCATGTGATTCAGGTGTTCCAAGTCTCCTCCATATCATGTGATTCAGGTGTTCCAATCCCCTCCATATCATGTGATTCAGGTGTTCCAGTCCCCTCCATATCATGTGATTCAGGTGTTCCAATCCCCTCCCCATCATGTGATTCAAGTGTTTCCAATCCCCTCCCATCATTTGTGATTCAGGTGTTCCAATCCCCTCCATATCATGTGATTCAGGTGTTCCAATCCCCTCCCAATCATGTGATTCAGGTGTTCCAGTCCCCTCCATATCATGTGCTTCAGGTGTTCAATCCCCTCCCAATATCATGTGCTTCAGGGTTTCCAGTCCCCTCCATATCATGTGATTCAGGGTTTCCAAACCCCTCCATATCATGTGATTCAGGTGTTTCAGTCCCCTCCATTTCATGTGATTCAGGGTTTTCCAGTCCCCTCCATATCATGTGATTCAGGGTTTCCATGTCCCCTCCATATCATGTGATTCAGGTGTTCCAATCCCCTCCATATCATGTGATTCAGGTTTTCAGTCCCCTCCATATCATGTGATTCAGGTGTTCCAATCCCCTCCATATCATGTGATTCAGGTTTTCCAATCCCCTCCATATATGTGATTCAGGTGTTCCATCCCCTCCATATCATGTGATTCAGGTGGTGTTCCAATCCCCTCCATATAATGTGATTCAGGTGTTCCAATCCCCTCCTATATATGTGATTCAGGTGTTCCAATCCCCTCCATGGACACAGGTGTATACAATCCATCCCCCTAGGCATGCAGACGGCTTCTACAAACATTTTGTGAAAGAGGGTGGGTCGCTCTCAGGAGCTCAGTGACTCAAGCGTGGTCCCAATGATAGGTGGCCACCTGGGCAATAAGTCCATCCGTGACATTGATCCTGGCTACTAAAATATTCCACCAAAACTGTTAGTGGGATTTAACAAAGTGGAAGCCACTGGGAACAACAGCCACTCAGCCACTCCAAGTGCATGCAAAGCGTCGGATGCCGTGGTGTCCAAGCACGCCGCCACTGGACTTGGGGAATATAGTGTATATTACAGGGGGGGCCATGGGGACAATACTTGGGGCAATATAGTGTATATACGGGGGGCGGTGAACAATACTTGGGGCAATATAGTGTATATACGGGGGGCGTGGTGGGGACAATACTTGGGGCAATATAGGTGTATATAAGGGGGGGGCGGGGGGAGGACAATACTTGGGGGCAATATAGTGTATATATGGGGGGGCGGGGCTACGCCAGGGGACAATACTTGGGGCCATATAGTGTATATACGGGGGGGCTTCCGGGGACAATACTTGGGGCAATAATAGTGTATATTCCGGGGGTCGGGGACAATACTTGGGGCAATATAGTGTATATAACGGGTACATGCGGGGGACAATACTTGGGGGCAATATAGTGTATATCCGGGGGGGCGGGGACAATACTTGGGGCAATATAGTGTATATAGGGGGGGGCGGGGGGACAATACTTGGGGCAATATAGTGTATATTGGGGGGGGGGGACAATACTTGGGGCAATATAGTGTATTTAACGGGGGGGCGGGGACAATACTTGGGGCAATATAGTGTATATACGTGGGGCGGGGACAATAATTGGGGCAATGTAGTGATATACAGGGGGGGCGGGGGACAATACTTGGGGCCAATATAGTGTATATACGGGGGGGGGGGAGTGGGGGACAATACTTGGGGGTTGTAATTATAGTGAATATACAAGGGGGGGGGCGGGGGGACAATACTTGGGGCAATATAGTGTATATACGGGGGGCGGGGACAATACTTGGGGCAATATAGTGTATATATACGGGGGGGGGGGACAATACTTGGGGCAATATAGTGTATATACGTGGGGGGGGGGGGGACAATAATGGGGCAATATAATGTGTATATACAGGGGGGGGCGGGGGGACAATACTTGGGGCAATATAGTGTATATACGGGGGGGGGGGGGGGACAATACTTGGGGCAATATAGTGTATTATACGGGGGGGCGGGGGGGACAATACTTGGGGCAATATATGTGTATATACGGGGGGGGGGACAATACTTGGGGGGCAATATAGTGTATATACGGGGGGGCGGGGACAATACTTGGGGCAATATAGTGTATATACGGGGGGGGGGGGACAATACTTGGGCAATATCGTGTATATACGGGGGGGGGGGGACAATACTTGGGGCAATATAGTGTATATACGGGGGGGCGGGGGGACAATACTTGGGCAATATAGTGTATATACGGGGGGCGGGGACAATACTAGGGGCAATATCGTGTATATATACGGGGGGGAGCGGGGGGACAATACTTGGGGCAATATAGTGTATATACGGGGGGGGGGGACAATACTTGGGGCAATATCGTGTTCATATATATACGGGGGGCGGGGGACAATACTTGGGGCAATATAGTGTATATACGGGGGGGGCGGGGGACAATACTAGGGGCAATATAGTGTATATTACGGGGGGCGGGGACAATACTTGGGGCAATATAGTGTATATACGGGGGGAGGGACAATACTTGGGGGCAATATAGTGTATATACGGGGGAAGGGGACAATGGGGACAATATAGGGGCAATATAGTGTATATACGGGGGGGGGGACAATACTTGGGGCAATATCGTGTATATACGGGGGGGGCGGGGGACAATACTTGGGCAATATAGTGTATATATGGGGGGCGGGGACAATACTTGGGGCAATATAGTGTATATACGGGGGGGGGGGCGGGGGACAATACTTGGGGCAATATAGTGTATATACGGGGGTGGGCGGGGACAATACTTGGGGCAATATAGTGTATATATACGGGGGGCGGGGGACAATACTTGGGGCAATGTAGTGTATATACGGGGGCGGGGGGGACATACTTGGGGACAATACTATGGGGCAATACTTGGTGTATATACAGGGGGGGGGTATGCTACGGGGGGACAATACTTGGGGCAATATATAGTGTATATACAGGGGGGGGGGACAATACTTGGGGCAATATAGTGTATATACGGGGGGGGGGGACAATACTTGGGGCAATATAGTGTATATACGGGGGGGGGGGGACAATACTTGGGGCAATATAGTGTATATACGGGGGGGGGACAATACTTGGGGCAATATAGTGTATATACGGGGGGGGGGACAATACTTGGGGCAATATAGTGTATATACGGGGGGCGGGGGACAATACTTGGGGCAATATAGTGTATATACGGGGGGCGGGGGACAATACTTGGGGGAATAATATAGTGTATATACGGGGGGCGGGGACAATACTTGGGCAATAATATAGTGTATATACGGGGGGCGGGGACAATACTTGGGGCAATATAGTGTATATACGGGGGGGGGGACAATACTTGGGGCAATATAGTGTATATACGGGGGGCTGGGGACAATACTTGGGGCAATATAGTGTATATACGGGGGGGGGGGACAATACTTGGGGCAATATAGTGTATATACGGGGGGGGGACAATACTTGGGGCAATATAGTGTATATACGGGGGGGGGGACAATACTTGGGGCAATATAGTGTATATACGGGGGGGGGGGACAATACTTGGGGCAATATAGTGTATATACAGGGGGGGGGACAATACTTGGGGCAATATAGTGTATATACGGGGGGGGGAGGGGACAATACTTGGGGCAATATAGTGTATATACGGGGGGGGGGACAATACTTGGGGCAATATAGTGTATATACGGGGGGGGGGACAATACTTGGGGCAATATAGTGTATATACGGGGGGCGGGGACAATACTTGGGGCAATATGGTGTATATACGGGGGGCGGGGGGCGGGACAATACTTGGGGCAATATAGTGTATATATATACGGGGGGGGGGACAATACTTGGGGCAATATAGTGTATATATCATTAAAAAAAAAATTAAGGGGGGGGGGGACATGTACTTGGGGCAATATCGTGTATATACGGGGGGCGGGGGGGGGGCAATACTTGGGGCAATATAGTGTATATACGGGGGGCGGGGGACAATACTTTGGGCAATATAGTGTATATACAGGGGGGCGGGGACAATACTTGGGGCAATATAGTGTGTATATACGGGGGGCGGGGACAATACTTGGGGCAATATAGTGTATATATACGGGGGGCGGGGACAATACTTGGGGCAATGTAGTGTATATACGGGGGGCGGGGACAATACTTGGGGCAATATAGTGTATATACGGGGGGGGGACAATACTTGGGGCAATATAGTGTATATACGGGGGGGGGGGAACAATACGTGGGGCATATAGTGTATATA